GAATCGGTTCCCGAAGCAGGGGACCAATCATCGCAAAGCGAAATTCCCCCATAGGAAACGTCATTTTGCGATCGCAAAAGGGATCGCAAAAAGTTCATCGTAATGTGATTTTGTTGTTAAACGAAGTGATCGTAATGTGAGGCACCACTGTAAACTGGAAACCATAAAGCAGGTAGTGGAATTGCAGTGCTTGGTGTCAGCGAACTAAAGTGGACTGGAGTGGGATATATTTAGCCAGACAACTACAAAGTGTTCTACTCTGGAAATGAAAAACTCAGAAGAAATGAAGTAGCTCTAATATCGAGGCAAGAAATAGGACAGGCGGTAAGGGGCTATAATGCACTATGTGACTGAATAATATCACTCAGACTCTGTGAAAAACCTATCAATATAACTATCAAACTCAGAAGAAATGAAGTAGCTCTAATATTGAGGCAAGAAATAAGATATGTAGTAAGGGGCTATAATGCATTATGTGACTGAATATCAATCAGACTCTGTGAAAAACTATCAATGTTCCAACTATACAGTAGATGCCGAAGAAGATGAACTGGAAAACTTTCATGCAAACATCCAAGAAGAAACTGTTTACTTCAGAAGAAGACATTTAATAATAGGTGTCTGAAATACAAAAGTAGAAAACAAAGCAGAATTAAATGTCATTGAAAATTTGGTCTAGGTGACAGAAATGAAGCAGGAGAATGACTCATTGAGTTCTGTGAAGCCAAAAGTCTTTTTATGGCAAATGCATGCTTCATGCAACCAAACAGGCAACTGTACACATAGACATCACCAGATGGTTGATACAGAAATCAAACAGACTGCATAATTGGAAGCAGGAGATGGAGAAGCTGTATTCTCTCAGCCAAAACAGGTCCAGGAGCAGATTATGGTACTGGGCATGAACTGTTAAATATCTAACATTTGAATAAAGCTGTAAAAGAACACTAAAAGAATTTTAGTGACAAAAATAATTTAAATAATATTTCTGATGGGTTTCAAGTCCACATGAAGAACAAATTTGAATTATTAACCTCAGTTGACCATGAACCAAAAGAACTATGGAGTGAAACCACAGATATCGTTTGGGAATGATTCAGAAGAAAGAGTGAAAAATCACTGTATTAAACATCAAGAAGCTAAGATGCGCAGATATCACCATCTTACTGGCAGAAAGCAGTTATGACTTGAAATGACTTTTAGTAAAAGTGAAAGGAAAAAATTAAAGCAGGACTACAGTTGAATGTGAAGATGACTGTAGAAAAACTACACAACTTTTAATGCTGACAGTGAAGAAACTGAAACGGTACAAGGTTTTCTTTACCTTGATTCAGTCATGAGTCCAAATGGAGATGACAGCCAAGAAATCAGAAGGAGACTGAGACTTAGAAATACAGCAATGAAGGAATTAGAAAAGATCATCAAGTGTAAGGATGTGTCACTGGAGACCAAGACTGGCCACACTCTTTTATTCCCAATCATCATGTATGGATGTGAAAGCTGGATAGTATGAAAACTGACAGGCGGAAATAATTGATTTGGTTTTAATGTGGTCCTGGAGGAGAATTTGGCCAATACATTGGACTCACAAGGTTTGCACAACTTGCCACAACTAATTCTGGCTGTTTGACAAGATGCTGGGGCACATTTTGGTTGCAATGCTTGGTCCTGAGCCCTGCAATGCAATTGAGATGCACCTGGCACCTTGTCACTTATCTGCAGCAAGTTACACAAGCATCGTGAAAACCCCAATAGAATTCCAGTGTGTTATAAAATGTTCCTGACAACACTAATTCTCTGGAACTTAGCCAAGAAAACCTTCTTGCAACCCAAAATGTGCTATCAATGTATATAATGAAGGGCACAAAAAAGCTAATAAAGCTTCTGTTTAGGAGTGGATCTTCCTATGTTCAGTGTATTCAGTGCCATTGTTATTCCTTCTTGTATGTAGTTATAGCTGGTTGAATAGCTCAGGTACCTGGCTGCAGAGCCAGAGGTTTGGAGTTCGATTCCCCACTGAGCCTCCTACAAGTAGAACCAACTTGCCTGAACTTGGACAAGTCCTGCATTGGTTCAGGGTGCCCTCAGAAGAAGGGAATGGTAAACTACTTCTGCGTATTGTATACCTAGAAAATCCTGAAAAGGATTGCCATAAGTCAGAATTGACTTTTTTGGCACATTATTATTATGTGTAGTTATAATTTAGTATTATACATGTGTACCTAACAGATATAACTTGAGAATTATTTAAAACAGATGGAGGAGTATTAAATGGATTTATAAAATTTATAACACTGTGGTGACTTTGCTGATTCAGTTTTGTTCTCTCAAAAAAGACTCACCCAATAGTCTTTAAGGAAGATACAGTAGCTAAGGAAATAAAGCAAATTAGCCTATTTTAAGGAGCCATGTTCCACCTTTATGTATTTGAACAGCTTGCCTTTTTTCCAGACTTTTGATAGACTTTCCGTTTCTTCCTTCCACACATGTACCTTTGTCTGACCTGATGTAATAAGTCTTAAAACAAGTTTTTGAATTCCACGATCTAGGGAGATTTGGAAACGAATAATAACAAAATTTATTTCTCTAACTTATTTATATTCTTCTCTTCAAAAAAAGCTTTTTCAGACTGGATTTAAAATAGAAATAGAAATGCAATAATAGAACCAATATAATAAAACTGTGACAAAACAACAGGAATAACTCCTAAAGCAGCAGATGGCAGAGCAAGATAATAACAGACAAACCAACAGAGAAGTAAAATGATGGTGCCATGAGACAGAGGATACCCCCATATTTTCAGTTTGTTCAAGAATGAACTGATCAAGTTCTGATATTTCTGCTGACTTCTACAGGGCTTTACTCAGAAGGAATGTATCTCAGAAATTCTTGAACCTCTTCCTTAGCATCCAACCATATCACAAGCACAACTGAAAACTGCCTGTTCTTATTATTTGCCTTCAAAGCTGTATATAGCTTAATATACAGTAAGTGTGCCTGCAGCAAAACCTGTTTCCATATCAGCCTGTCTGGGTATTAAGGTCCTCTTTGGAGTCCCTCTCGCAGTAAGGGTGAGAGGAGTGGTGAAGAAAGAGGGCCTTCTCAGCAGTGGGACGTGTCTGTCGCTCAGCTGTCTTTTTGGTGCCAGCTGAAAGTCTTTTCGAAACAAATTTTCCTAAGCCTTTCACCATTACTACTTTGATGGTTTTAGCGCTGGCTAGTCTTATCCATTTTAACCCTTTTAATCAATATTGTTTTAATATTGTTTGGGTTTGATTCTTCTTCTGTGTCCTCCTGAGGATATCTTAACCTGTATGCTAATGTTAACTCATAAACTCAAAAGTGTCTGCTATTACAGATCCAGAATAGCACCACTCAAACTGAAGGGCACGGAGAGGAGAGGTGTCAGCATGCTTGGGGAACCACAGCATTTGTAGAAGTATGAACAGTATTGGGGGGGGGAGGAATGCTAATTGCCTCTTCCCCCAACATGCACAGAACCTGAAAGACTGACAAAAGAGGAAACCATGAAAAAATGCAGGGGAAGCAAGAAACTGCAGCAGGGATGATGGAATTAAATAGAGCATTGTACAATATGCCATGGCTGGGTGATTGTGGAATCCTGCAGAAGAGCACTCTATACTTCAATGTTTTGTTTCTTTCCATTTAATCCCACTTGTTTATACTGAATAGCAGAATAGGAATTGACTAAAACAAAACAATATGAAATATAGTTATAGTTATAGTTATCTCCACCAGAACTTAAAGTGACATCATAGTAGGTTTCAGGTGAACATCCCTGGAAATGAAAGTCTGTAACCATCCCAGTCACCTAAACTACCACCTCCCAATTGAAGTGGTTGGGACACCTGAGACAGGACTCTTGAAAATGTTTTTAGTGTGTTAATTAGGTTCATATGGAAATAAGAGATCATCAATTACCATGGTCCCATACAAGAAAAGCCTTTGAAGGATAGACAAACTTGGAGCCAGTACATATGTTCTGGCACTAGCAAAATATTTTCCTAGCATCCTTACTTAGTAGGAATGTCATATAGAGTCTTGAACCAATACACTTTGGTGGGGCCTTACATACAAGAATGTCACACATAGGTTTTCAACTAACTCAACCAGCTACTTTATTACACTCACCAGAAGAATCACTATTATATTCTATCCTTTTTTAAAAGATGAAAATGAATGGTACCCTTTCCCTAAGAACAGTAGTAGAGTAACAGTGGTTAGATGGTACAATCTCTACTTGTTCTTTAACTCTCTTGGCTGGTGCTTGATCTTTGCCATGTGCCACTTTCTCCCATTCTGTTGCAGTTCTGCACCAGTGACCCTAGAGACTAATGATAAGGTGGATGTTCAGTCTCTTCTGAACCTCCAACTAGTTGTGCTGTTCCTGTGATTTCTGAATGTTGTCAGAAATATTGGTGTTAGGAGAAAGAATGTGTCTGTGCATGTATTGTGCATGTGTCTGTATTTATCCTTCGGCTGTTTTACCAATGAACAGTGGCTGAGGTGTTTCCACCATAGGTCAATATCAATTTTCTATAATATTTGAAGGCTACTTATAACCTTGAGAAAAATGTGCTAAAAGGGTACATAAGACTTCAGCAAGTCACAGTAATAAGAAAAGGAGCCCTTAATGAGACTAGTTGTTTACATGTGTTGTGCAAAACATGTTGGAACCAAAATGAAGCAATGCATGGGATTTTGGAAAACATGAAGAGAGGATTTAGAAATTAAAAGGAACCCAGAGTTAACTGTTCCTGTTTTGCATTCATAAAGACAGGATGTGGGAAAGGAGCTTTATAAGACAAGCAAAGTAGAACATCTACAGTTAATACTGAGAAATGTTAGGCTATATTTCAAGAAGATAGCATGTTAGAACTGAATTTCTAATAGGGGATTTAGCTGGTGTAGATTCAGAATTCAAAGTTCTAATCTGAGATGGATATTTAATTCCTCATTTCCTTTTATGTCCCTTGCAGAAGCTGAGGAGCTGTATCAGAAGAGAGTTCTAACCATTACTGGAATTTGTGTTGCGTTGCTTGTTGTGGGGATAGTTTGTGTGGTAGCTTACTGTAAAACCAAGTGAGTGACCTTTATTAATACTAAACAGAATCTAATACGCATTGAATTGTTATCGTTCTTACTATTCCATGTCTACTAGCTTAAAACACTTATTACACCACTAAAACACTTTCCTCTATATCTAGAAGGCAAGGAGTGAGCTCAGAGCAGGTTAGAGGATGCAACGTTCTTTTAGTGATAAGATGGCATGCTGGCCCAGAGCACTGAAACTGGGCTGACATAATGTATCTTTACGTAATCCTCATCAGAATCAGCAGCTCTAGATCTCTTTCTTCTCGGTAATGTCAGAGGCACAATTGCACCTGCTTTAGAGTTTCATAACTTCCCAGCTTTACTTCAGAGACTACTGTTTGCTAGCATAGAGGAGTTTGTGATATAAAGCTATTGCATTCTACGTTTGAGCATCCAGTGTGTGAGTGGAAAAAAAGGGGTTCTAACATGAAGAACAAGAAGGAAAAACTTTTTTAAAAGGCATCATCCCCAATGATGCTTTTAAAAAAATGTTATTTTGTCATTTCACTGCTATTATTAAAATAATGTGTGTGTGAAGATTCAAAGGCAGTTCAATAGGAATTAAATGACTAGTAAAATGAACATGTTGCTGAAATAGCATGATCCAGAATGGCTACAGTGAAGGTGTTCTCATTTGTAGGTCTGAGGTGGGACCCTTCTGGCCCAGTACATTTCTGCATTCCTGAGATCAACACCTTTCAAACACAGCAGAAGAAAAACTAACGAGAGCAATCCCTGCCTATGGCGATTGTGCCATTGTTCTGTGCATGCCCCTCCAATGGCATCACGATTTTGGACAGACTCCCAAACCACTGAGGACAGTGGTGTGATAGCTAGAGAGGAAATAAAAAAGTAAACAAGACCAGTTTGCTGACCATGATTTCCCATAGTAGAAGGAACCATGCTATTCTTGACAGGAGGATGGCGCAAAAAGGGTGTGTTGTAGTAAATCAGTTTCCTTGTTCCTGTCTGAGAGTCTTTTCTGAATGAGTGCAAGTAAAATATATTGATCTCCTTACTGTTTAGAAAACAAAGAAATCAAATGCATAATCATTTGCGGCAAAATATGTGTCCAGCCCATCAGAACAGGAACCTTGCAAATGGGCCTAGCCATCCCCGACTGGACCCTGAGGAAATTCAGATGGCCGATGTAAGTCGCTTTGGTTCATTTATCTTGTGGGGACCTCTGAGACATTGCAGTGGGTCCAGAAAGCAGGACAAAGGCAGGGAGGAAAGGAAACAATGCTCCTTTACTCTGATCTTTCCTGCCTTCTTTCCATTCCTGCCCTCTTGCTCATTCTTCTGTTTCCTTTTCTGTTTCACTTCTATTTTTATTTCTTTCTTCCCCAACAAGAATCTAGGGGGGGGGGATTTGCCCTTACTAGAATCGAGGCTGAGACTGCATTTATTCCGAAATCATTTCTGGAATCATCTAGACTAGAAACTAGTCATGTTTTGCAAACTTCAGAGTTTGCTGAGCTGTGAAGGTAGAAATGATGATTCCCTCACACAGTTCCCATCCTTCATAAATCGCGGGACTAAAGTCTTTAGTTCACTAAGGGAGCAGTGATATTGCAATGCACTCCATGGACTAGAATCTTCATGTAGTTAAGGCCAAGGCTAAAGCCTTCTGAGTGCCCATCCTGGGCTGTACTCCATTTGTCCCAACACATGTCAAGTAGCTGATAATATCACTGTTCCCTTGGAAAATGGAGGAGTATGGAGTATATTCTGAAGAGTCTAGCCACATTTCACTGGTGGAATGCATATATTTTAATCTTCTAGTAGAGGGTAGGCTTTCTAGAGCAGTGCTGATTCCAAAGGCAATGCACCTTCTCAAAAGATGGCTGCTCCCTTATCCTTCTTTCCCCCTTTTCCTCATCCATTTCTCTTCTTTCCTAAGATACAGTTTTATTGAGAACATGCTTGTGAGCCCCAGAAAGCCTCCCTCCCTTTGCTTTTCAGGTGGATAGTTAAGACTTCCATGTTTCAGAAAACTACCAGTTACATTAATTATTTTTATGTGCAAGGGTGGGAAGGTTCTTGACTGGGCAGCTTTTTGCATTCTAAATTGTCTTAGAGAGATTTTATTTCACTTGTTTATATCATAAAGCAGGTTTAAAAACTTGTCCTTTGACTAAACATTGACTAAAAATCAAATAAATGTCCCTATTCAAGCACAGAAAGATACTATAATCAATATGTGAGAAGGGGAAGCAGGCAAGGCCCAATCCCCTGATGTTGTTCTTCATGTACACTTTTTTTGCAAACTTCCCAATCATATGGCATTCAGTCTACTGGCTCTCCCTGTGAGGAGAGTGCTGATGGGAAGCTGAGCGCTCTTCTAATTATGCAGAATTAACTGCAAGTAGTTTCCTCTCGTGATGTTTGTGGGAAAAGTTATTTGTATTCTGTATTTTGCTAGTGGGCCTCTGCAGCTCAAACCAGCTATGCTTTCTCAGTGATAAAAGTTATGAGGCTGTACGCTTTAAAGAGAAATAATAATTGGCAGTGCAATTATTTTGAAGGGGTTCATATTCAGGAGAGTCTAAGTTGGCCAACTTAATTCTTACCTTTTGAAAATGGAAACATAATATTTTGAGATTTGTTGCAAACCAATCCTATAAGTAAAGCAATATTGTCATCCTGAGATGAATGTCAAATAGCTGTGACTGTTTCCGCAGTACATGTCTAAAAATGTTCCTGCTACTGAGCATGTGATACGAAGAGAAACAGAGACCACCTTTTCAGGGAGCCATTCCTGCTCACCCTCACATCCGTGTTCTACAGGGACTCCAACTTCAAGCCAAAGGTAATGTATACTAGTGTTTCATAGCTTGATTCTGCCTCTCTGTGTATCTGCATGATTGTGGATTGCTTCTATAGAGGTGGAGGACCGCTTAAAATGGTCCATCCTAGAGGCTTATGAGGGATTCCTGAATGGTTTCCAGTGGCTAGAACTGGAAATCCTGTTGAGATCTTGGCTTCGCTATGACATGGTGAGATGAACCATCAACATTATTGCTCCTGTGTGTCCTCTTTTGCATTGTACAATCTGAAGGCTCCATGATTTCTGCAGAGTCTGATTATGCAGACCAGAGGTTCCCAACTGTAGGTCCCAGAAGTCTTCACCACTAGCTGTGTTGGCTGGAGTTTCTGGGAGTTGCAGTCCACGAACATCTGGTTTACCCAAGGTTGGAAACCACTGATGGAGACACAAATCAGTTTGAGTTCAGAATTGATTTGGGGATGGAAATTGTAATTTTTTGCCTTGATGGATGAACTTTCTCAGGAGATGGTTTGTGTGTGTGTGCACGTCCATGCGCAAAATGGTTAATCCTCCTTGTTCTGTGTGATGAGGAGAATAGTTTTTATCCCATCATGGTCTTCTCATGGATTGACTTGGTATGGTAGGAGTAGGAAGGTAATATACTGCCATGGTTTCACTCTTTCCTACTGTGACTCTCCCTAATTAAGTTGTAAAGTGCCAGAGAGAACAATCTTGTCCCCAGTGTTTTTTAACATCTATATATAAAGCTGTTAGGAGCAGTCATCAGTATGTAAACCAGAATCAAATGTGGCCATGCACATGCTTGAATGTGTTGATGGGCTGGATACTGGCTAACAAACTGAAGTTGAATCCCAGAACTATGGAAGATCTGTTGGTAAATGGCTCCCAGTTGTGGGATTTGGGTAGCCTTCCTGCCTTTGATGGGGTTCACTGCCTATGACAGGATTGTACTCTATGAATGTGAAGAAAACTGGCTAAATTCTTCATTCTAGCTAATTCAGGCAGTCTCACCATGATGTGGAATTTTCACACCAAGCACAGAAGAACTAGCTAATTGTTTCAAAGCCTTCCTTTGCTTCTAATCCTTGGAAAACCATGTAGCAAATCAGCAGCCATCATCATATTGTGCAATTTGCAGTAAAGCATTATTTTGTATTAAAACACATTTTTGCAGTTTTGCATAATTGTTATTCCTTTTGTTGAAAGCAACACCAAAGGGCTCACCCACTTGAGTGGTGAGGAGGATAGTTCTTGGTTCCCTATCATTGGTAAGAGGAAAGGACGACTGAGGAGTTACTTCCGTGGTGTAGTCTGGGTGTCTTGTTGGAGTCACTTGAAACCCAAATGATCACAGTGGCCAACTGGACAGGGATTGCCTGGACTACTGCAATGCAGTTTGTTTCAGGTTGCCCTTGGACCTGTTTCAAAGATTATAAACTAGTATAGAATGTAAGCAGCTGGGGCTCCTACTGCTAATATGACCTCCTGTCTGGAAGCACTGCATTTCTTGTCAGTTAGATTCTACGCCAGAGTCAAGATGTTACTCTTAATTTATAAGTCTTTACACAGGTCAGGACCAGGTTATTTGAGAGATTGCCTTCTTTATAGATAGGTCTCCTCCAATTTTATATCAATGTGGCTCAGAAGTTGTGAAGCACATTTATATGTGAAAACTCTGAGAGGTACTTGTAATCAGATATGGGGATGAGCATAAAAATGAATCGCAACTTTCATTGAATAACACTGATTCATCAGATATTCATCCCTTCGTATTCATGAGATCTGGCGACCCCGACAAATATGAAAGGATGAACCTTTTATATTCATCCATTTGTCCCCAGTGCATATGCCCCTGCATATCAGCTGATCAGCGGGACATAGAAAGACAGGTAAAGCTTGCTGGAAGGGAGTACCCCCCACACTGTCTTTGCAAACAGCAGGGGTGGGGTGGGTTCCTATCTTTCTATGGTTCCTATCTTTCTATGCCCCACGGATTAGCTGATGAACCATGAACCATGGATTTTCCCTGGTGAAACAATGAATCACAAATCAGTTTGCTGGTTCATTGGGTTTCTTTTTAGACAGCCCACAGTGCTTCTTTTAAAAAAAGCCGAGGTCCCCACCACTACAGCCTGCCCCACACCCCCTTCTCTCTGACCCTGTTGCTTGTCCTGCTGCCTCCACTGCTGGTGGTGCTGGGATGGAAGTTAGGCTGCAAGAGCAGTGGTTTTCATTCCAGCAGCCTTGCTTCCACTCCATTGCAAATAGCAGCGGGAGGGGGCCACCTCCTTTTGGGCAAGCCTGCCCAAAGGGAATCCCTCCACTGTCTTTACAAATGGGAGAGGGGGGATTCCTTTCGGGCAGCCAGGCAGCATGCCTATCTTTCTATGCCCCTGCAGATCAGCTGATCTGTGGTGGCATAGATAGATAGGGAAAGCAAGCCTGAAGGGAATCCACCACCCCTGTGTGCAAAGACAAAATGGCGGTTCATCCCCATCTCTACTTCTAAGCATTACCAGTTAATGCAGATTCAAGAAACTGGGCAACAGATGTCTGTTTTTCAGCCTTCTTGAAATTTATCTGGGAGCTATCTGTAGACACAGGCTGCATCATAAAATGACAATGTGGTAATTAGCATGTTGCAAGCCTCATCACAAGTTACCTTACAAGCCCACAAATGTATCATCAATTTGCAATACTTCCTTTCTGGAGTTTGCTTGGCAAGTTGGGCGCCATGAGTAATTGGTCTGAGTCTGTGTACTATAAGAGAGTGAGGAAAGATCTATCTCAGTTGCTGGCCAATATCTGCTTATTGCTTGGCTTGATCTATAGACATGAAAGCCACACCTGGAGCTTGGAACGGACAGAAAGCCTGACTTCAGACTGTCAGTCTGGGATTATGTTGTCTTCAGTGGGGACCAGCAAGTGCAACAGTCCTGCCTGCGTGGAAGCACGTGCTCGGCGGGAAGCTGCGTACTCTATTGAAGAACAGAGAAGGCCAATGATGCAATACAGAGATTCGGTGGATTCCCTGCGAGATTCGCCACATAGTGAGAGGTCTCGTTTTCTGCTGCTATTATTGCTTACTTTTTAGATTGACTTGTCACTGTGAATATTGCTTTGCTGATACCCAGATATAGTTACCGATAAAATCCAGTCTGTAATAGTGTATGAGACTAAGGAGTGAGAGGTTTGACAGGAAGTTTAACAGACAAGTTGGATGCACCGATACATAGGTTTTTGCAACACGTAAGTAAACGCTAAAAACCCATATAGCATTGAGCATTGACTCTGAGCTGTGAAACAGAAAGCTCGTAGAGGTCAATCTGCCCCCAACTCCCCAATTCCAGCATGACAATAGCAGTACAGTAGTGATTTGCCTTGTAGAAAGGTAATAGGAAGTTAAAACTTGTGAATTAAAAAAATTGCTGCAGACAGTATACAGATATGCAATTTAAACTGACCATTTAAAATATAGCAGATAGTGCACAGAAATGTTACAATTTCAGTATACGTGAGTAAAAACCATCCTGAGATAAAAACACAGAGTCACAGATTAAAAAAAAACACAAATGGTAAACCACTTCTGAGGACTTTGTATGTAGGAAACCCTGAGTAGAGTCACTGTAAGTTGGAATGGACCAGATGCCATGCAATTATTATTATGAACATAAGATACTGTTCTTCTGTTCCTAACAGCTAGGGAAGTCAGAATTTAAAAGCATGTGCTGAGAGTCAGAAGCTGTTCACTCAGAGTTTAAGCTTGATGCCTACATTGTTTCTTCTTCTAGGTATGTGTCTGCCTTGACCACACCAGCTCGCCTTTCACCGGTCGACTTTCATTGCTCTACATCCACTCACATGCCCACCTTTGAGATCACCTCCCCCAACTCAGCTCACGCAGCCTCACTGCCCCCTGCAGCATCCATTAGCTTCCAGGTGGAGGAGCAACAGCCATTGCTCAGAAGATACCAGGTCCCTTTCCAAGACATTCAGAGATATGACAGTTACCACCAAAGACGGAGGTACCTGAATGAGAGCACAGGGAGCTTGCCGTCCAGTCCCTTTCGTATCACGGAGGATGATGAATATGAGACAACTCATGAGTACATCACTGCACTAGAACAGCCAAAGAGAACAGGCAGCAACAACAGGCGGTGGAGAAAATCTAAACTGAATGGGCATCTGTCACACCGGGGCAAAATGCTCAGAGACTCCTTTTCAGTGAGCAGTGCCTCATACAGCGAGTCTGATGAGGAGCTGGTGGCTGAGAGCACCCCCTTCTTAAGTATTCGGAACACTGAGGCCATGGACCCAGATTCGCCCCCTCTGTATCGTCAGGCTGAGAGCAGGACTTACTATTCCTTCAACAGATGCACACAGGGAGACAGTCGGCTGACACGGACCAGGTCCAGCCAAGATTCAGCACCACCATAGATGTCACACAGCCTCTCCCTCATGTCCGTTCCCATGAACATACCAATACTGAGGAAGTGGGGGAGGGAATGGAAGAAATTTTTATTTTATATATAAAAAAGGAAAAATATAACAAAAGAAATGTTTTATTTTCATTTTAGCAATGATGTCTTATAATAGCTAATGGCAAAGACCTTTTTGTAAAGAATCTATTTATATGTAACATCTTGATTTACAGCTTCTGAAAAAAGAAGAAATCAACAAAAAAAAATTAAAAAGAGATGGGCCAATTTTTGACTACTTACAAATCATTGAAAAATATCGTGGTGCCTTTTGCTATATGCTAGTGCCAGAATCCACACTGAAGATTATGTTTAAGCATTTTTGAGATCATAGACTTCATGTTCAGGACAACTTGTTATGGATATTTTAATGGGCACTTTTCCATTTGAATAACCCTTTTTAAATTGCTTGCTATCTGGATGTTGGTAATTTAGTGCTTTTAAACAATTGATCCTCACTCCTACCCTTCCCATAACTCTCTCCCTCACGTCCCCGACAAACAGGTAGTCTCACACAAGACATGTGACTTAATATTATCATAAGTGCTTTGTCTTTCAGGGAGAAGTATGTACTGGTAAGCAAAAATTATCTTTTCTTTAATGCAAGTTAAATAGAGGGTTAAAAAAAAGCACACAGTGGCAGCAGCCCTTACAATAGATCTCTTGTCCTGAACAGATCTGTGAAGGGGAGGGGGTGGAGATATTCAAAGAAACAAAATTAAATGACGGTGACTAAATAATTCTTCTTCCAGCAATTCTACTTTTAAAATCTGGTTCAGCTCCATGATTGAACATAAGCACTAGCTATATGTTAATGACTGTGAGCAGCTGCTGTACCTTTTGTGGAACAAATATGTGAAGTCCAGAAGCTGGCTTGATCATAAAGCAAATGTGAGTCCCAGAGTGGAAAGTTCAGGATGTATGTGTTGATGGTGAGGTATGGTATGGACACTGCACATGCTTTAAAAGCTCTAGGTGAGGCAAAAAGTACATCACTCTAATCACCTGCCATCCCCACTTCGACCTTCTCCATCAGCAGGGCAGTGCCACCAGCATGCAAGCTCTGGCCTTAGACTCCTACAGAAAGCAACATCAGAGGAAACGCCTTTGTGTGTTCTGTTTTATAAAGATGGTTGTTAGCATAATGTTCTAGCTTTTCATTATGGCTTTCTGTTTATTTACCCCATGTCACTAGAGGTGGCCAACAAAAATCCTGCGAAAGAGAGAAAGTGTGCTTCTTTCCTTTCTGTTCTTTGCAGGGAGGGGGCCCTGTGGTTTACATCCCAGCCTGCCTCTTTCTTTTTTTCTATTTTGACTTCTGCATGTCCTTTGCATTTCAGATACTGTAGACTGGATGCATGGATAAGCTGTGACAGAAGATAAAATACAGTTGCCAGTGTATTTCATTTAACTTTTTAGCAATAAAATACTTAAAAACCCTTTGTTCCTCACCCACAACAGGGTCCAATAGAAACGCTGCTAATTTGTCATAAAGTTGATTGTAAAAAAAAACAAACTGCTCTGGATTGTCTGAATGTCAGAACTCTTGACTGTTGAACACTTGAACTTTTTTAACATTATAAATAAAAGGAAGAAATGACTACCCTGATTATAAAATCAATTTCACATGCAACATTGAGAGAGACCTGCTGAACAATAAGAGCTCTCTTAAATTTTGCAGTTTTGCAGATCTCACTTGGGGTTTGGCTAGACAGCCAAATTAGAATGGGCAGGATATGGCTAAATAGGCTCACTTGAGAGTACAGTAGTTAAGTCAGACTTGTGTGATGTGATCTCTGCATCCACATGCAAGGATCAGGTGGTTTCTGAGCAGGAAACCACAGTCAATTTTATTTAGAATGATCAAAATCTTTCACTTTAAAAGGAAACATTGTTTCCTTTGAAAGGGAAAGATTTCTCAAGATTGTTATGCCTCTTCCTTTGGAGAAGCCACTTAATTGGAGATTTCTTGTGGGCATGTCTTTTTGATAGCAGCTAATGTTGCCAGCAATGCTTTGAAAGTTTTATTTTTAAAATGCTGTCATAGCATCACTTAATTACTGTGTCAGTTAGCAACCATTAAAAAGTAATAGGAGGCTTCTGACTTGGTTTTCCTCCAAAGGCAAGGGAGATTTAAAAGGAAAGCTTCCCATTTCTCAAAATCGTTAAACAGATTTATGGGAAGCTTTCCCTTTAAAAAGGATCCTTCAGCCATAGTTTGCTCTGTAACTGTCCTCCTGCTCTTTGCAAGGCTTGGAACAATGTGATTGCCAAATGTGAGGCCACATAGGAATATTTTCTGGATTCAGATGCTATCCAATCAAACATTTCTTGAATCAAGAAGGTGATAAATTAAAAAGTAGTAAAACAAATGAAGAAACAACAAGAAATCTGAAAAAGCATAAAGTTGGGTGTATTTTCATTTTGATGAGAAATCAAATGCAGATGGTTGCAGTTACCGTAATTCGTCAAGGTAAAATCAAGGGGGAAAGAAGTGCAAGAAGAAGGATTTACTGTCTGAAGAACTTGGGGTAATATAATTAACAACACAACACTAAAAGAAATACACAACACCTAGAACCTACAACTCCAAACATACTTGGATAAAAATGTGTTTACTTGTTAACATAAGAAAAACACGGAAAGAATCTAGTCTTCATCATCAGATAATTTCAAAGCCTGGGAGCAGCTACCAAGGAGGCCCTGCCTTGTGTTCCCATGAGTTGTGCATCTGATATTTGTGGAACAAAGACAAGGGTTCCACCCAAACATTTTAGGACCAAGCAGGCCCATAAGGGAGCACGTGGTCTTCCAAATAACCTGGTCCCAATTGTTAAGAGGCTTTATAGAACATAAGAGTTTTCACCTGTGCCTAAAAACAAGTTGGTAGCCAATGAAACTGTTGTGGGAGTCCACCCATCATAACCTACAGATTTTTCAGCTCTCTTCAAAGGCAGTCTGACCTTCAAAGGCATGGGATGCACTGAATGTAATTGAAATGGGATGTGTCGTATTGGGGCCTTCTTAGCTAGATCAGATATCTCAAGCAGAAGACATAATGGCGCAGTAGCTGAAGCTGAGTATGTGAATACAAAATTTGGACTTAACATGTTCATAACTGAATCCAGGAGTACACCAAAATTGTAGTTTACAATTATTGCTCAATAGCCAGTGAGGCTTTATATACAAACATACATTTAAAAACTTGCTTTAAAACTGATGCTTAAAATCTTATATGTAGGGCCAGAACTATACCCCAGAGAAAAAAAAATGGGTGGAATTCAGAGAAACTGCTGTTGCTACACATGATGCAAGTCTTACCATGGTTTAAAAAATGTTGCCAAGGTGCCCTTTTAAAAACTGCACTGTCTTGTCACTGGCTGCCAGTGCTGGGAGGCTTTTTGGCTACTGACAGCACCAGGATCAGGGTACAATATGTGTAGTGAAAACAGAGTGACTGGAGTTGCCTCACCCTGCACCATCACTATCTGACCAGTGCTGGCAACCATGTTCTTGCCCAGGAGAGCAGCTCTAGCGGTTCCATTGTCACTACATGTTTGGAGTCGCTGTTCAAACCCTGGCACTGTCAGGAGATGGGAACTTTCCCAACACTGACCAGGAGCCTGGAATTAAACACTCTGCTCTAATGTGAAGAATTGCATTGAAGCAGGATGTGCGCTGCAAGCAGTTCATGCCTGTTTGCAGAGAGCCCACAGTAAAAATTCTTGCAAAGGTGGGGTTCCTGCCTAAGTATGAACAATCAGCAAGAGGATAAAATAATAATTCACACAGAAAGGTCAAATAGTAAGGTTGGTGTCTAGGGATTTGTGGAGCAGGCAGTGAATTCTGTCGTCCATAGGCCGTTTAACAAATATGGCAGTCATATAGAATATGTAATAGTCTTTGGTAACTAGCAAAAAATAAATAAATCCCCATACAGATAACATTTTATTAGAAGACGTCTCGTATCCTTCAAACCTCCTGCTAGACAATATCTGCTTGTGCCAATGTAGATCTAACAGCTAACATCCTTGAACATGTTTCAGCTGCGGGGGTTCAATCTGCATTTGGTCAAAAGCCATCTTAGTTCATGTGAGCTACTAAAGGACAAATATGGGGAGTGGGGGGAAGAAACAACTATATATATCCTATTGTAGAAGTAGTTAGCTAGAGATGTCACAGCAGTGTGGATAGCAACGTTTTGCAATCTTTTAAAGATATGTTTTTGGGCAGCCTCATATCCAATCATGTGCCAGTAAGCTAAAGAATATCCAGCCTTAGATATGAGTGCAGACATCATAGCTGCCCAAGATTCCTGTTCTATTTCCTTGTAGGCCCAGAAAGCCAGAGGTAAAGCCATCTGAAATATTATCTTGACCCAAAACAAAACAACTGTTTCTTTGGTGAGATTACCTGCAGAATAGGAGAACATATCAAATCAGATGATGGCTGTAGAAGAACAGCCCTGTTCTACCCCTGTTGCTACTCCTGGTGCTCTGGTGAAAAATATGTATTGGACAGATTCTAGTACTTGATATTTGAAAGATTCTAGTACTTGATATTTGAAAGATCTCATACGGGAACTCTTTATAGTGTCTGAGACAACAATTTATCATTGTAAACCTATATTAAAGGGGACACCATTTCCCCACATACAGTATTCTAGAAGAGAAACAGCTTTGCTGACACAGCTACAGAATATAATCTGACCATCTTTCTGAGATTTTAAATGTCACTCCAAAATGTTTATATACATTGGTCTGTTCAAACAATTGCTTGTTGAACAATGTTTTCCCTCCTTTTTTCAAGAACTTAACTTTTGATTTTGCACAAGAGCTCAGTGATACCTTGCAGAATAGCAAATCAACATTCTACAAGGCAGTTCTAAAAATGGGGACAAAAGATATATGCTTTTGGTATATGCCAATTTTGAGGAAATTTGGATAAATAGTTCTTGAGTTATGATTTTTAAAACATAAAACTGGTCCTTCCATGAAGAAACAAGCAACCTTTAATGTCCCCAAATTTAAAAGAGATCAAATAATTTGAAAACACCAATATTGTTCCTCTTGAAAAAGAATGGCTGGCCTCACCTCTGTTTTTTTATTTGGGAGGAATACAGGCTGCTGCAGATGAAATACTGATCCTCAAAAAATACCTTTCAAAGGGATGAAACAGTTTTATCAACTGCTAAAACGGTTTAAAACAGTTTTTTAATCAACTGTTAAAACTGTTTAAAACTTTTTTTTATCAGCTGAACATGGGTGGAACAGGCTTACCAATGAGAGCATTCTAGATACATTGTTACAGCTTTGTGGGCTAGGAAGGGAGATGTTTGGAAGGCAATAAAAGGTAACAGAAGCAGTGAAAAGACAGGTTTTCTTTGAAGAGTAAAAACACCGGGTTGCTTTTAAAAAAAGCAATGGCATGGCAGTCCTCTAGAAATGGACATTTTACCATGTATCTCCAGGGAAATAGTACACAGTTTTGTTACGCAAATTCAATTTCTGCATTACAAAACTCAATTTTTTAATGGGGAAGTCAGCTCCAGCTTGGGGCAATCTAAACTTTTGACCCTGTCAACTTTAACTCCTTCCTGGCCAAAAAAGCATTGGTGTTAGGAAAGGGATTTTGTGTCTGGCTGTAAAAATATTTTAAAATATGTTTTAAAAAGAATGGAGAACAAATATTCAGAAGCTCACTTGTTCAAGCTGTGATTTTTATTTTTTGCTTTGTGGCTGGAGATGGTCTTATTCAGTGTTAGCAGAGCTTTGGTGCCTATATTCTGTTATAATTTCAACCATTCCACTTGTTTTATCACTATACAATTGTCTGGTAATTAAGAAAAAACCCCTCAAAACATGTTGTGTGTTCTCAAGTCACTAACAGCATCTCATGTTAGGTCTTTCTCTCTTCTGATTGGCCTCTCTACTTTCCCCAGTAATATTGTCTTTCTTTGTCAGTTTTGTATTTTCATTGTATGTTTATGGTAGGATAGTTCAACTTTCTTTAATTATGCTGTACTGAGCAACTTACAGCCTTTTCTGCCTTTCTGGCTGACTGTAAGGCTTGCTGCCATTCACCCTTGTTGAAAAACAGCCATGATAATTGCTTTCTGTTTGTGTGTGAAGTGGCTAACTCATGAAAAAAGGAGTCAGCTTCTGGGACTTGCTTGGTGTCACTGTCACCTTCTGAACTGTAGTGAGCAGAAGAGGGTATCCTATAGACCACTGGTTCCCAATCTTCGGTAACCCAGGTATTCTTGGATTACAACTTGAAGCAGCCTTTATCACTAGCTGTGCTGGCTGGGTTTCTGGGAGTTGCAGTCCAAGACACCTGGGTTGCCCAAGGATGGGAACTACTGCTATAGGCCATCTTGACTGCTGCCATTGGTATTGTCAACATTCAGGCTGCCCTTTGCTATATAAAACTGAGCATCATTTTTCCTGCTGGCAGTGCAGGCACTGTTGCTGCAAATCTGCCAGCCATTTCCTGGTGTTTTGAATTATGGACATAAAAGCACAATATGTTACATTAATAAATTGCAGGTTTTTGATTTTTTTGAAAAAGAACTGAATTAAAATAGAGCTGTTCTCTGGT